CTGTCCTGTCCTGTCAGGTGGCCAAGCAGCTGAAGGAGCAGCAGATGGTGATGAGGGGCCACAGGGAAACCTCCATGGTGCACGAGCTGAACAGGTGAGCGCTGCCCCTGCGTCCCGGCCTCTTCCTCCTCCTCCCTCCACCTCCCCAGCCCTCCTCACTCTCACCCTCTCGCTCCCCCTCTCCTGCCCAGGTACATTCCCACAGCCGCCGCCTTCGGGGGGCTGTGCATCGGGGGCCTGTCCGTCATGGCCGACTTCCTGGGCGCGATCGGCTCGGGGACGGGGATCCTGCTGGCCGTCACCATCATCTACCAGTATTTCGAGATCTTCGTCAAGGAGCAGAGCGAAGTGGGGAGCATGGGGGCCCTCCTCTTCTAGCCCCCCGGCCCACCTGACGGTTGCTTCCTCCTCCCTCGGTTTCCTGGGTGGTTCTGTTTGTCCTGGTGGTTATTTTTTTCCACGGTTTGTTTTGTTTTTTTTTTGTTGACCAGACTGACTTTTTTTTTGTTAAAAGAAAATGTGCACGGTATAAATATATATATATTTTCTTTTTTACTGGTGCACATAAGCAAAAAATTTCCAGAGTTAGTGAAATTTCAAGGGTCGGCAGGACCCCTGGAATGTTTGCGAGGAGGGGCGCGTGACCGCGCTTTCTGCGCTCGGGTGCTGGAAGACGCGTGGTCCTCTCCGCCCGGCTGTCCGTCTGTTTGGTACTGTGTGCCATTCGCCCCTTTTTTCCCCTTTTTACAATAAAACTGGTGTTGGAAAAGCTCAAGTCTACTCCGGGTTCTGTTTTGTCCTCTGCGATGTGCTGTCCTGCGCTCCTCGAGAGTCCCGGCTTCAGCTTTATTATCTGGGCTCTTATTCGGTTTTGCTCCTCTGCCTGTTGCTCGAGTGGCTGGGTCAGAGGGCCGTGCCGTTCCTCGTGACAGCACTCCGGCTGCATTGCTGAATCGTCCCCTTAGAAAAACGGAATTTCTCGCAGCGCTGCTGGAAATTGTAACTCACTCGGCCTGGGTGACCTGCGCAGCTGAGAGTTCTACCTCCTGTCAGCTTTAAGCTAATACTAAACGGAGATTTGTTTTTGTAGGCATTTCAGGGTGTTTGAGGGTTGTGTGAACTCCTGCAGCACGATCTCTCTCTAACTTGCTAAGCTGCCGTGGTCCTCTCAAGGACGACCAGCCTGGGGGAGCAGGCCCGGGCCGAACGCGGTGAGGAGGGCGGACGGAGGCCTCGGTCTGTCTCTGACCCCGAGGGGCTGGGGAGCGAAAACCAAATGACAATTTCAGCAGGGACCCCCAAGACTGCAGCACGAGTAGCTCTCCAGGGGGGCGTGGGTGTTTTGTGTGTGGGTGACGCTGGGATTCAAAGCCATTCGAGCCGACGCGAGACTGTTAATCGAGGAGAGGCGTTTCTGTCGCGGAGGAAACTTTTTTTTTTTTCCCAGACCAGACGAACTGTATCGCAAGGGAATCGCTCCCACTCCCGTGTGGCGAGGTGGAGCGGTGGGACTTGTCTTTGAGTTGGCGTTGGCGCCTCTTGGGCGCACGCGGGGGGCGTCCTCTTGTTCTGCGCTGTCTGCGGAGGGCGGGACTTCCTCGCAGGGTGACGTAACCTCCCCTCCACGGTCCCCTGCTGCTCTTCCTTTCTTTCTGTATTGGAAACAGTGTACATTCCTTTTCTCCACCATGTTTTTGTTCTTCCGTATATATGTCATACTGTGCATTCCTCCAGCACTTTAAAGTGTGAATTTTTTTAAATACAAAATTCTTTTGAACAAGTGCATTGTATTCACATAAAAATACAAAAGAACTGATACTCAATAAAATGTCCTTGGGGAGAAATAAGTCTGTTTCTTCTCTTTCTGCTGGTGTTTCTTTGCCACAGGAACTACACTGTGTTCAGGCCAGGACTCCAGTTCCTGAACTCTTGATCCGTCTCTGAAACTGTGAAACTACTCGAGAGGCCTTGAGCTCTGGTGTTCAACAGCTGGCCGAAATGAGAAGAGCTACAATCAAGAGTAGCTTGACCTGTCAATTTGATTTATTCTGACTAAAGCCGCCATTGAGAGACGTCGGCAAACCAATTGGGGTGGAGGGTCTGTACGTTTGAGGTTTCCAAGTGTTTTACTTTCCAGTTTCATGATTTGACTAGTGCAGATCTTGGCTTTATTTTAAGACGGGGCTGATGAGGGAAGATGTAACCCACCTCCCTCCGAAAGTGAGTTATGCACATGGAGGGATAGGTCCAGCATTTCCACAAGGATGTCTTCTCCCAGATTGGCAGGACTGTAGACCTGTGTGGATAACAAAACATGAAACCCCCATATAACCATATGGCCACACACCAGCGCTTGAGGAGTTTGTAATGGCAGTGTTAGTTACAGTAGTTCAAGCATGCGTAGGCTGCAAAGGAACTCCACAGCCAGAACGTTGTTTCTTCTCTTTTCTGCAAGGAATAAACCTTTTTACGTGTCAGTTACACAAGTACTGTGTTTATGATCAGGCAATGCGGGAGCCAGCCCGCAGCCTGGCCCCTCCCCGCACACTGTTACGAAAGAGGTCCTTGGTGCGCCGTGACGTAAGAGGTCGGAGGGGAGGGGAGAGGTTGAAGGTCACGGCGTGCGGCGTGAGTGAGTGAGTGGAGCCGGTTCGGGCTGTGGGAGAGGGTTCGGTACCGAGGCAAGAGAGGGACCGGCGGAGCTCACGGAATCCGGGACGGGCGACGGGCGACGGGCGACGAGCAAACGGCAGCCATGTCGTACTGCAGGCAGGAAGGTCGGGCTCATTCATCAGCGCGCCGCGGCAATGTCACTGCCTGTGGTCGAGCCGGGCTGCCGAGCCGGGCTGCTGCAGGGCTCACACTGGCTCGGGGGCTGCTGGGGTCGCGGTCTTCCTAGAGTGCGAGTAATGCGCACGAAATATTTTTTTATTTTGAAAGCGCAAGGGACTTCTGTGTCAAAAGTGTCTCACGGACCAAACTTCGAGCTGCTGAGAGCTCAGGGAGTGTGGATGAGTGGATGAGTGCAGGGGCCGGTACGAGTATTGTGTATTGCAGTCGCTGTGTCAGGTCTTCAAAAGAAGCCACCGCACGTAGAGAGGGCGGAGAGCCGGTCTCTGATACCCGTGTCCAGCGCGTCTGTCCGCCAGTAGACGCGCGCCCTGGTGGGGAAGACCTGTGGGTTTGTCACAGCGTGGGCAGACGGTGCAGTACCGCACCGATAAAGGCGATGGGTGGGGAGGTGAGAGGTTCTGGTCCTGCACTTGTCGCTGTGGAGTCGCAGCGGCCGAGGAGCGCCCCCCCCCGCTGGGTTAACGCTGCAGTTCCAGGAGGTCCGGCAGGGGGCGCCCTCTCGCCACGAGTCGGGCTGCTGCCGGCGGTTCCGCGTTTCTGTTCACCGGCTGCGACCTCTAAGAGTGAGAAAGATGGCGACGGGTCATGAATCTGACCTGCTTTTACTCCGCAGCCTGAAAGACTCTGTTACCCACCTCGATTCCCAGAGCTCAGTGTCATTCAGGGTGATCGTCACAATTCCTGATAGTCCAGTTCTGTTTACAGCAGGAAGCTCCAGGCGCTGGCCGTTAGCGCACACAACGCACGACAAGCACAGAAGGAGAACAGAGCAGCACTGAGTGGTGGAGAGGTTCATTCCCATGTGTACACGTACCCCGCTCTGATCTCTGGGGACACACACAGTGTAGACAGTACAGTACAAACATAATGAATGATGAATGAACAGGATGTCAGGCGGTGCAGTGGCTCTGTGGCTCAGGATCTGCGCCTGTGGCCGGAAGGTTGCCGGTTCAAATCTCGCAGCCGGCAGAGGAATCCTACTCTGTTGGTCCCCTGAGCAAGGCCCTAAACCCCAGCTGCTCCAGGGGCGCCGTATAAATGGCTGACCCTGCACTCTGACCAGGTATGGAGCAGGTGGGCTCGGTGAAACCAGGGATGAAACCGCATTGCGTGCTGCCAGCTCTGGTGAAAAGCCGGGTCATTAAGCAAGTTTAGAAAATGTCAACAGCCAAGAGTGCCAGCACAGCAGCGCCACGGGTAACCATGTCCGTGATCGGTCATCGTGGAATCTTTTGGCATAAATCACTTCTGACTCGGCGGTCCGGGGTCCCTTGACTCGGCCCGGACTGTTTCCTGGTTCAGGTTCTGATCGGGTCAGAGGTCGGCTTGATTATATTATGAGGATAACGTGCTTCTCCATTAGCTGTGGAGACGGCGCTGCTTCACGCGTGTGTTTGTGTCTTTGTCCCCCTCCTGGGCCCCTGCAGGGAAAGACAAGATCATATTCGTCACCAAAGAGGACCACGAGGCCCCCAGCAACGCCGAGCTGATAGCGGACGACCCCAACGACCCCTACGAAGACCAGGGTGGGTGGAGGGTATTTCATTTCAGCAGCTGAAATTTGAATGCGTCCGCACCCCCTCTCGTCCTGCTTCCATCAACCCATAGCTCAGTCTGGTGCAGAGTTGTCTTTTCTGTTCCGAAAAACCGCACTGAAGCTCAGTCCTGGGTAGAGAGTGAGAGGGACGGTGCGTCTTTAGGAGAGGGACGGTGCGTCTTTAGGAGAAGGACTGTCGCAGTTTCCAAGTCCGTTTTCACTCCTCTGTATGATTGTTCTAGCTTGCGAACGAACGCGCAGGGGGTCTCGGTGGCCTCTGACCATGTGTCCCTTCTCCCCCCCCCCACCGTCTCCCCCAGGACTCATCCTGCCCAGCGGAGAGATCAACTGGAACTGCCCCTGCCTGGGAGGCATGGCCAGCGGGCCCTGCGGGGAGCAGTTCAAGTCCGCCTTCTCCTGCTTCCACTACAGCACGGAGGAGGTGAAGGGCTCGGACTGCGTGGAGCAGTTCCGCGGGATGCAAGAGTGCATGCAGAGATACCCTGAGCTCTACCCGCAGGAGGACGAGGAGGAGGAGAAGCAGGGTGGGGACTCGGGTGTGCCCGCCCCCGCCCCCGGAGACACACCCACCACAGAGAGCTCCGCCTCCAGCTAATAGGCCACACCCCCTGGGCTTTTCCACAACAACAGGAGGGAGCAGCTTGCGGTCTTAAACTTCGCGAAGGGAAGCTGCCACTGGCTGCACACAGCAGTGCCCCGACTCCACAAGAAGGAGACTCCTTCACTTTCCGTACGGCAGGATTATCTCTTCAAGTCCCTGCTTTGTCTGAGTTTTCATCCTGGTGGTGTGAATAAGTGTATTCCTAGAGCTTGCCCTAAATAATCATGTTTAGATGCCTGAGTCTTTGTGGAGGTCTCTTTCCCCCCCAATTGCCTCCCAGTCACAGGGGAACTAACGTGCCTGCCACCCTCTGTTGGACTTCCTCCTGTATTCTGACTTTTAATTTCAGGATTCAGATCGCAGATGATCTGTCACTATACGTGTATGTATGATGGAGCTGTGAGCGTCTCTGGGCCCAAGGTTCAAGGGGTTTAATTTCTGCGGCTAAAATTTTAATAGTTATAAATCCTCCCACCCTGCTTACGTGAACCCGAAGCTGAATGTGTTGTGGTGTTTCAGAGCTGGAGTGGCTTGACTGGCAGGGTGCTGGGAGGTGGGAGGCCAGCCCTGGCTGACCGCATCGGTACTGAAGCTTGGGGTGGGATGATAGAGGGTCTCCCAGCTTTGGGGCATCCAGGTGGTCTGTACCCGGAGTCCGGTTCGCCCAGTGCTCGTCACCGGTCCAGCGCAGGGTCCGGGTCGCTGGCCTGGTCAAGGGTGTGCCCAGCGGTCTGCTGCGAGGAGACGTAGCTCTCCAGAGCGTTGCTATGGGGATAAGCGAAGCACTCGTCCAGACTGCTGCTTCCTCTAGATCAGTGCTGCCCGGTCCTGCTCTCCAGAGCTCACAGCCACTGTCTCCACGTTTATTTCTGAGCTCTCTTGTCAATTGAGTGCTTGTTTGTACTAATTATTAAGAAGACCTTTTTTTTTTTTTAGATGCAGCTGGATATCAGGTTTTGTTAAAAAAGCCCAGTGTGTGTCGATCAGTCTCTGTTCCTTTTCTTCATTCACCAGAATTCTGCATTTAAATAGGACCAACAGTTCAGTTTACAGCGATCAACAAAGACTCGCTACCCGCTGGAAGAGGTTCAGAACGAAGGATCCCGAGTGGGTCAGGAGTGTGTAACAAGCAGCCCAGTCCTGTTATGAAGGAATCAGTACGCTTTTAACTAGCCAGACAGGCCGGAATAGTCTCATCTCTAAACTTTCCTAAGTTATGAATTGACAACTACAAAAGGTTGTGATGAGAAACCAGTACCCTTTCTTTGATCCTCTGCAAGGCCACCGGGACTGCGGCTACTGAAAGCTCAGGGGGGGCTCGACTCTGCTGGTCTCGGAATCGCTCCACAGCGAGGGGCTGTGCTGTGTCCGGCAGCTGGAATGATGCATTTCTGCTGGACACGAGTGCAGCTGTGGCTGACCGCTGCTCTACTGTTCCCTTTTTCCTGGAGGAAGACTTCCACGTTTTAAAATAATTCACGTTTTGAGAAGAGGAAAGTGCTTTAAAACCTCTTTGAACACCCGAAGCCTCTTGTGCTTGTGTGTCTCTTTTCCTTCTGTTGCTTTCAGGTGGGCAGCTCCAGTCCTCCAGAGCAGAGCTCTCGGTTTCGTTCTCCAGCTCTGATCTGAATTAAAATTGATATCATCTTTGAATAAACTGTTACACCACCTGTGCTTGCAGGTTTTAGTGTTGCTGAAACTTTCAGTGTTTCATCCCTCGTGCACAGACTCGAACAAGCATCTCCAGCCCCAGTCCGGTTTTTAAATACCTGTGGCTCATCGATCAGTTAAGCGAGGAGTTTGTAAAAGAGAACTCTGATCCCTGAGGTGTCGAACATATTTTGTTCCTAATTTAATTAATTGCAAATTGTTCCCATTAATTACAGATTGTTTTAAAGTAATATTTATCTATTCCCGATCAAACCTGCTGGATTGAGACACTTCCAGAGCAGGACAGGGCAGTGATTTAGATTAGAAAGCTTAATTACTTAATTGAAACTTTAATCACGCTAATAATGTGCTTGATTGAAAAACAATATATTTTTTTTCCTACTCAAAAAAACTACTGAAAGTCCTCCTGGACTCTTGATTGTCTATTAACCTCACAAGTCGGCTGCTTCTAAGCTCAGTGATCTTTAGCTGCGCTTTTGTCAATGAGAACAGAAGAATAATGAAATAATGAATGACCAGGGCTGGCTAAGGGCCCTACAGTCGTGCACCGTGGAATTTCACAGGCAGCCGAATTCCAGCTGATGCAAGGGACCAGGAGTCCGAAGTCGAGGTCTGAGGCACTGGGGCTCGGCTCGGATGATCCCGATTCTCTTTCAGGAAGAAAAGCTGTTTTCGGTTTGGCAGTGAAGGGAGTGGGCTCTCGAGAGCTGTAGGCCGTTGTGCCAGTTCTGCCGATGACAGAAAAAAACAATGATCTTTAAGTAGGATATCTCAGTGCTTTTTTCTGTGGAAGAGATTTTGAGTTCCTGGAGTTTGGCCTCGACTTCTTCCCCAATTCTGGGTCGTGGAGTTTTGTCACCGGCTACCAGAGCCAGTCTGTGCCAGGAGGGTACTGTCCTGAGCTGTTTCGCTTTGAACAGGAGCGATGTGCATTTGTTTTAATGTTGGAAAGTGGCCTGGGCTTCTTGGCATGTACTGTATAAGGGGAAGAATGCACTCTCTGTCCTGGGAAATCCCAGTGTTCGCAGTACAGGTCTCCAGTATGAAGGCAAGAGTGTGCATTGAGTCTCCCAAAGCCTCCCTGGAGCTCAATTAAAGCTCTTTTTACCTCTCGGAGTGTCAGTGTTGTTGACTCGTCTGCTGGTGACCATGCCAATGTGGCAGGTTAGGTTTACTGCATGGAGAGCAATTCAGCTGTGGTACTGCCCCCTGGTGATGGCTCTGTGCACTGCCCCAGGCTTGTGTTGTGCTCACAGATCGCTGATCAGCACCGGCTTAAAGTCTAGGGGCGAGCTGAAGGGCCAGAGTGCAGTTACAGAACAGAGGAGGTTCTGGTGGTGCAATTATCATGATTATTGGTTCAGCTTGAGCCACCTGCTCATGTTGTTGATGGGATTTCTAAAACCTCAGAGTGGCTTGAGCATTTTGAAGAATGCAGACCCTAGGTCTAATCCATTCATCCCGTTTCTAGCTGCTTTATCCAATCCGGAGTCGCAGGGGGGCAGGAGCCTAGCCCAGCCAACGAAGGGAGCAAGGCGGGGTACACCTTGGACAGGATGGCAGTCCATTGCTGGGCACACAGACGCACTTGCACTGGACGCCACACACTCATCCTAGACACAGAGACACCAACACCAGGCCCAATTTTCCCAGAAGCCAGTTAACCCACCAGCCTGTCTCTGGACTGTGGGAGGAGCCCCACAGGAACACGGGGAGAACATGCAAACTCCACCCAGACAGCACCCCATGAATTAAACCCAGGGCCCCAGCCCTGCAGGACAGCAATGTTGACCACTGGGCCGCCTTGCTGACCCCTGGCTCTTACCTTGACCCTAACACAGACACGGGTGCACAGCCAACAGGAGAACCAGACATCGGTCTTCATCAGCACGACACGACCTGTTAAAATCGTCCCCTTTTTCGCCTGGTGCAGCAGCTGCTCTCTCCTGCCCCTGCCCTGCTGGGCAGTAGGGCTGCAGGCCAGGGCTGAATTATGTGGGTCCCCTCCTATGTGTGAAGCGGGGAATTGGGTGAAGCCCTGCGGCTCTGAGGCGGAGGGGTGTCTGTCTCCAGGCCGCTGTATCTCACACCAGCAGGGAGAGGCAGGTTAGGGATGGTGTGGACGACGGTGTGGATCAATGTGAAAGTTAAAAAATTACTCCCTGCCTTGAAACGCAGAGGCCTGGGAAGGTAATAGATAACCTGAAACACAGTGGCCAGAGACCTTTGGCCCGGGGCGGCCATGCTGAGAGGCTCTGTGCGCCGCAGGGTGGGGGGCTGGCTGTCTTTGGGGGCTCTGGCGGGAGGGGGCCGCACAGTCCCCCCGCCACGCCAGACTTCGGGGCACGCCGGCCGCGGGCCGCGGGAACACTGCCTAGTGGGGTTGGCACCAGAAGTGACACCAGAAGCCGGCACCGCTGTGAATGATTAACAGGGCCCCAGGCGGCTCTGCGCAGGCGATTGGTGGGGATGGGCGGGTTTGTGTCCAATCAGATGATGGGGTGTGGCACACCGAGGGGGTTCTCCAGCCAGCCAGGGGGAGCACTCTGAGTTTGTGACTGGGACTGCACGAGCTCGCACGCCGGCCTGCTGGCTCAGATTTGCATGTCTCTGTCTGTTAGCGCACCGCCTGAGCAGGGTGCGCCTCCATCTCTCTGTATCGCCGAGTCCGTCTGTCTGTCTGCCGGGGCCGCCATGTCCAGTCTGAAGGAGCTCTGCGCAGGGCTGCCTCTGAGCCCCCTGCCCCCCAAAAGAGGAAGGGATCCCGGGGTACCCCACGCCCCTGTTAGGACCCCTAATCTGTCGGAGCAGGAGGAGAAGGTGAGTGTTCGTTTCTTGGTAACAAAGGACTTGTGTTCCGACACACCGGAGCAGATTCAACATGGGGGAGTGTTAACTGCAAGACAGGGAAGAGAGGCTTGATCTAGCATCGCTCTCTCCCAGATTGCTCGGGAGCCATGACGGGGCGGAGTGTCTGGGCTGTTACACTCTTCCTGAGCTGCTGCAAAACTAATAAGCTCTGAAGAATAATAGATTTCAGATGCTGTACACCCTGTCTCCGCCGTGATCGTTTTTCGTTTCTGGTAGCTTGTGTTGAGGGAATTGGGAGGGCAGAGTCTTCACGCTTTCTTAGGGTGACGAAAAGAGAGAGAGAGAGGTGACTGAGAGCCAAGTAAAATCAGTCGCGCTCCGCCATCAAGAGCTCAAGACAGCGAGAGACTGGCGTGAGGACATCAGAGCAGCAGTGTCTCTGAGAGGTTTAGATAAGGAGTTTCTGAGGACCTGCGTGCGCTTGATAACAGTTCGAGGCAGAGAGAGCCGGAATGAGTAACCTGTGGACGGTCTGCACCAGGCCTGGTCAATGATTACTCAGATAGAGGGGCTGAGATACCAGAGCTCCAGTCTTCCAGCTGAGACCGATCTCTTCCCAGGCCCTGGGAGACTTCACATGCAAAGCCTGTACTTCACACAGGGGCTTCAGTCTTGCACTTTGAATGGATTTGCATAGACGGGAGTGCGGAATCGGTCTCTGTAATATACCGTAAACCTATATCATCTGTTTGATATAGGTGCATTGTTGCACAACTGGTTTGGAGAGTCTCGTTCTGTCTGTCTCCCCCATTCCCCCCCTCAACCTCACGGGCCCCTCCCCGTCTGTCTCCTTCCACCTTCCACTACCTCTCTTTCCCTTCCTCTGTCTCCCGCTGTCTCCCACTGTCTCCCTGACTCTCCCACTGTCTCCCTGATTCTCCCACTGTCTCCCGCTGTCTACCTTTCTCTCCCTTTCTCCCTCTCTTTCCCGCTGTCTCCCTGACTCTCCCTCTCTCTCCCTCTCTCTCCCGTTGTCTCCCGCTGTCTCCAGCTGTCTCCACGACTCTCCCTCTCTCTCCCTCTCTCTCCCATTGTCTCCCGCTGTCTCCCTAACTCTCCCACTGTCTCCCTGACTCTCCCACTGTCTCCCGCTGTCTCCCTCTCTCTCCCTGACTCTCCCACTGTCTCCCTCTCTCCCTCTCTCTCCCGCTGTCTCCCTGACTCTCCCTCTCTCTGCCTGTGGTAGCTGGCCCTGAGGAATGCCCTGCGCTATATCCCTCCCGAGCTTCACACCACGCTGGCCCCAGAGTTCGCCCAGGAGCTGCGGCTGTTCGGGCACATCTACATGTACCGCTTCTGCCCTCCGCTGGCCATGAGGTGAGCTGTCCAGGACACAACACCAAGCACAAAACGCACACTCCGACACCCAGCAGGAGCCGCCTTGTCCTGCTGCTTTCTGTCCACGCTGCTCCAACAGGCAGGTTCGGCAGGCAGCTGCAGGATTAGGCCGCTGCTGGTTTACCCTGGTGCACGCTGTGGTATTCTCAGTTTTACCATGCTTGCACGGTGGTGTGCCACAGCGAGTGTGTAACAGGGCGATGTGCCTCACGACACATTGGGTGTGTTTTTTGTTAAACAACCCACTGGAATTCGTCCAGCCACTTCAGTCCTTACAGATGTTTGATCTGCAGCCCCTGTAAGAAGCCGTTTTTTCTGAACCTCTTCTCCTTAATGATATCTGCCTGCCTCCATCACCTGTCCGCACAAGCTGTTCCCCCGCAGCTCCCAGGTCTGAAGAGCAGGTGTGTGAGGAAACCGTCAAGCTCCAAGACCGAGCAGGAGCAGCACGTGATTTCCAGACAGCACGGCTCGGGTTCGAGATGCTGTAGAGTGCTCTCCCCTCTCCAGAGGCACTGAGCCCCTGAGGAGAGGGGAGAGGGGAGAGGGGAGACAGGAAAGGAGGGAGGGGAGAGAGGAGAGGACAGAAGAGAGAGGAGAGGGGGGGGAGGACAGAGGACAGAGGGGAGAGTGGGAAGGTGAGACAGGAGAGAGAAGAGGACAGAGGAGAGAGGAAAGGAGAGAGGGGGGAGGGGAGACACAGGGTACAAGAGAAAAGAGGAAGGGGCAGCACTGGGTAGGAGAGGGAGAGGAGATTTATGAAGGGGGCTGGGCAGAGATGAAAAAGAAGAGAGGGAGAGTGGAAGGCGAGAGGAGAGGGAGATCAACAGAGAGCGGAGAGGGAGAAGTGGAGAGAGTTGCTGTGCAGTGATGCTGACTGTAGGTGGTGCTGTTTCAGGGCTTATCCTATAGACCAGTACCCCTGCCGGACTCGACAGGCAGCGGCAATCATGCACATGATTATGAACAACCTGGACCCTGCAGTTGCTCAGGTAACTGATCACAGCCTGTCATTCGTGCAAGTAACCACTCAAACACCTCTCCTTAAAGAGGCACCTAAACAGAGCCTCCTTTCTGCACAGATTACAAATCACAGCATGTCTCCTGCACAAGTAGCCAATCACAACTTGACCTTATACAAGTAGCCAATCACAGCTTGCCTCCTGCACAAGTAACCAATCACAGCTTATCTACTGCACAAGCCACCAATCACAGTATGCCTCTGGCAGATGTAGCCAATCACAGCTTGCCTCCTGCATAAGTAACCAATCACAGCATGCCTCCTGCATAAGTAACCAATCACAGCATGCAAATTGTAGAGCTACTCAATGGAAGCCTACCCACAGCTATCAGACTGCAGAAGCCAATCCCTACAATAGAGAGTACCGGGAGACTTTCACTGAATTAAGTTGAAGAGGTTTCCTTTTCCATCGCCTGTCCTGTTTCTCCGATTGGAACTGTTCGCTGGGCGGTCTCAATTGGCCTGACCTGAGGGGGCAGCTTCAGCAGGTCATTCTCCCCCACGGCGCTGCAGAGAACCCAGAACATACTGAGGAAGAAAATCCCATAGTGAGCCGGCAGAGTCTGTGTGCAGTATCCTGACGGAATATCTCGCGTGTTGTTATAAAACCAGGTGTTGCAGGGCTGTAACCTGGCTTGTCTCCCCCGCAGTTTCCTCAGGAGCTGGTCACCTACGGGGGCAATGGGCAGGTGTTCAGCAACTGGGCTCAGGTAGGAGGTGTGATCGATCGTTTGCGAAGACCCACAGGTCTGGCAGCGCAGTGCAGGAGGGGACACAGCCGGCCTGTCGTTGGCCCCTGTGAGAGGGGACTGGACAGGGGATAGTGCCTCACATCCAGAGGGGGTGGGGGGGGGCAGCTCTGGTGACCCTTGTCCAGCACGAACCCCAAAACCTTCAAACCACAAAGTGTAACGTCTGAGACTGGGGGTTGAAGGGTCCTGCGCCCCACCTTCGCTCCCCCAGGAGAGCGCAGCTGAGCTGTTGCGCCCAATAACGTCAAACAGCCCGAGCCATGTGGCGGCCGACCTCGGACCCGTGCCCAAGATTAGGTTTCCACCTCTCAGAGATGACCGGGTGCGAGGCAGGCAGCAGGGTTTCTGAAAGTAGACAAAGAAGAATTTTCGAAGGCTCACCTGGAAAGTTAAGGGCGGGAACGATGCGTGTCAGAGGATGATGAGGGAGCAGATGAAGATCTGCTTTCCTGGTCTTCCTGGATGGCAGCGGTGAGCGCTGAGCCACCTGGTAGGAAGACCCTTCTGTTCCCGAAGGGCAGCTCCTGGCAGGGTCGCTCCACCCCCATCGCTCCGACCTGGAGCCGGTCCGATCCGCGGCCGGGCAGAGTGGGGCACAGGCTGCCCTCTCTCAGGGTGCCTGGCCGCCCCTCGTGTGTAAGAGGTTTCTAGTCTTCAGGCAACACTGGATGGACACAGGTGTCCAGCGGAGACCTCCTGTCCTCACAGTCAGATAACCTCCTGGGTCCAACTGCAAACTCAGTGTGTGTGTTGCTGCAGTGATGTTGTGTTGCTGTGTTGTGCAGTTCTGGTTAGTGATGCAGTGTCTCTGTGTGTGTGTTGCTGCAGTGATGTTG